ATACATATACACACACCCATACACACATACATATATAGGCACACACATACACAAAATACAATCAACAATTATCTGTTCCCTCAATATACTGTTCTTTTCGGATATTATATACATATTTTTACTTACTCACATTTAATAATAAATACATTGAGCTCTTTTTTTGAATCAGTTTTAAATTTTATATTATTATAACCACTTATTATATATAATGATTTTTATATTTATATATATATATATATATATATATATATATATATATATATAAATTGATTTAAAGACTGAAAAAAAAGTTAAATATATAAAATGATATAAAAATTAAATTAATATAAAGAATGGAAAGGAAAAATGAATTACGGAGCATTTAATAAATATTGAAGGAATTGTGTGTTTGAATTTAGTTCGGACCGTTTCTCGATTTTATTTTGGACCCCTCCTCATTTTCTAGATATCCTTATATATCAGATCCCTGGGCCTTTATATATTTGTAAACATATAATGAAATATTTCTAAAATGTTATGAACTCTATATTTCTTATAAATTTTTTTTTTACTTCCATTCATTATATTAATTAAATTTATATATATATTTTTTTTATATCAAAAAATAAACTTGATAAGGCTGGGATATTGGCAAAATATTTGTTCTTTTAAAATGTCATATAAATTTTTTTATATTCTAGCTATCATTTAAATTTAGGTAATAAAAAAAAAACTTATTTAAATATATATATATATATATACAATCTCTGGTTTTGACATCAATGTCCACTTTCATATATATAATATATATATATATATATGTGTGTGTAATTTATATATATATATATATATATTTTTTATATAAATATATATATATATATATATATATTGTGTGTGTGTATTATATATATATATATATATATATATATATATATATATATATATATATAAATATATATAACTTTAAGAACTAACTTGGTAATTTGAATGGGTAATTCCAAGGAGGATGAAATCCTAGGCTCAATGTGAATACAGAGCTAATATTTAATGAAAAAAAAGATATCTTTAAAGCGTCTTCTTAAATTTCCAAAATTAATATTTTATTATAAAAATCAAAATCCTTTTTAAGGATATCTGGATCATCATGTGAATAACACTTTATGTGCCTGATGAAAAAATGAACAAATTTTGTGACAAAAACAATTTCATTTAATCCCAATGTATCAAAACAAAAACTATTTTATGAAAAAATATATAAATATATAAATATATATGACAATATATATATATATATATATATACTAAATGGACATTGATGTCAAGACCAGAGACAACAGTCTGTTTCATAAAAAGGCGCAACAGTCAGGCCATCTATCTATCTGGTCTGACGATTGCATTTATTATGAAACAGAATGTCGAAGCTTAGAACGGCTCATGATCAAACATAATAGACATTTGTTGTCTATTATATTTAATAATATATGTTTGAATATATGTACATACAAACACACACACACACGCATATATATGATAAAATATAGTTTTAAGGTATGCTATATTTATGGGTTAAGTGCTCAATGTCAGGAATAGAGCGTATGTAAATATAAAAGTGGACAATGAAGTCAACAGCCGGTGATGACAGTCTGTAAAGTTAATAATTCCTTTTTTATACAATCCAAGTGGATCCTCGTAATACAAAATATTAAAATTGATCCACAAAAAGAGCTCAATTTATTGTATTTATTATTACAGAGCAAATAAATAGTATTACACAATAAAATCCAAAATTGCATCATGTGGAGGGATAGACTTATTTCAACCGAAGAAAACTTCGTCAGTCTTATTCAACCCCGGTATACAGAATGAGTTTGTGTCGGAATTAGAAATTTAACTGTGACACCTGTCGAAAAATTAATATGGAATTTATCCATTTCAATGTTTCAGTCAGACGAAATACACGAGACAGTGGTCAGGTAAGCGTGGAAGGTATTAACTTTAAAGGGAAGAGGTTTTATAAAAATTAAACCCGGATATTAACCTTATGACATTAAATTGGGGTTATAAGAAGACTGAAGTGTTAATTTGAAACTAAGAGAGGAATGAAAAGCTTCTTTTTTTTTAAATTCTTTTTATAGAGATAAGGTTAAATTTAAAAATACAAGATCCCACTTAAAAATACTCTTCCAAAGATGAACTATACCAATAGTAATGGTTCACTAACATCGAAGATACAAAAGAAAATCATTAGGGCCTTTAAATTACTAGGGTTTAGAAAAGAGATTTCTTTTAACCTTAAAATAGTTGATTATCTAGACATCACCCTTAACCTAAATAATTAATCGTTTAAAACATACCATGAAGACAATGAAGCCCCAAACTATATTAACCTTAACTCTAACCACCCCAATGCCATTGTGAGACAGATACCCACCACTGTCGGCACTAGGATTAGTCGATTATCGCCCAATATAAACATCTTTAATAAAAATAAAGAATTGTATGAAAATACTCTCCAAAAAAGTGGTTTTAAAAATGAATTATCTTATCTAAGCCCCACAAGTAATACTGAAATATCTAAAGTGAAATATACACAGAAATAGAAAAAGAAAAATTGTATAGTCCCCCCCCCACACACCCCTTCTACCGAAATGTCAAATATTAATATTGGACAGTATTTTCTAAAGTTAATAAATAAACATTTTCATAAAAATAACCTTCTAATTAAGATCTTCAGTTGGAAAACGATTAAAATTAGCTACTCCTGTACCAATAACATGTACAAAATTTCAACAAACATAACTACATTTTAAGTAATTTCTATGGCATAAACAAAAAACCTGGTATTGAACCTCCTGTAATTTTAGATATAAAGAAAGTTGCTCAGTTGAGGGTAAATGCAGATCTACTAGAGTGATATACCAAGCAACCATTTCCTCCAAAGAAAATTTTAAAAAATATAATATTTACAATTGAATTTCCGCGGGGGAATGGAAACAGAGATATTATACCTATAAGCATTCTTTTACCAACCCTAAATTAAAACACCAGACAGCTCTTTCAAAAGTGTTTTGGGAATTGAAGAAGGATCTAAACCCACAGACAGATTAGAAGATTATAGGTTCACCACATACTACTAACAGTCTTAGTGATAGATGTAACTTATGTCCACAAGAAAAAATAGAATAATAAAATACAATAATCAAAGCAAACTATTGAATCAAAAGACTGAATTCGTTTTTAAATGTCGACATAAAAATAAATTCAGATTTTCATAATATAGTTTTTACCTAATTTGCTACTATTTATCTAACTCTTCAAATGATGAATATATAACTAATTCTAATTTCTATATTTTTACACCATATTAATTATATCTTATAATTGTCCCCTATTCTATGAACTCACTTTCCTTTTATCACTTCCACTTCTTTATCGTAAGGTTTTTTTATAAATATAATTTTGTATTTTTAGGTTTTTAAATATTGTTTATAATTTTTATTCTTTAATATAACATTTTTTTATTAATTATAATTTTTAAAAAATTATAATCTCAATCAATTTTAATATAAATCATCTAAATATAACTTATTTTTAATTTATTAAATATATTTCACTTTTAAGTATAATTCATCTTTGGAAGAGTATTTTAAAATAGCAACTTGTATTTTAAAACTTAACATTATCGATATAATTTTTTAAATTCTTTTTGGTCCTCTTTTAGTTTCAAATTAACACTTCAGTCTTCTTATAACCCCAATTTAATGTCATAAGGTTAATATACGGGTTTAATTTTTATAAAACCTCTTTCCTTTTAAGGCTAATACCTTCTACTCTCCTCGGACCACTCTCTCGTGCCTTTTGTCTGACCAAAACATTGAAATGAATAAATTCTGTATTAATTTGTCTAATGCTGTCACAGTTAAATTTCTAATTCAGGCACCTACTCAGTCTGCATACCGGGGTTGAATAAGACTGACGAAGTTTTCGTCGGTTGAAATAGATCTATCACCCATATGTAATTCATCGATTCTAGAAGAAATCTTAACAAAATGTAGAAAGCACTGGACGGCCGTTTCGTCCTATATTCAGGACACATCAGCAGTGCGCATCCAGTACCGAGAATTGAAACCCAGACAGTTACGATAGGAGGCAAACGGCATACCAACTGTAGCGAATCAGACTCGATATAGCGCCGCTCTTTCACATATTCCCTGGTGGAACTCATCCGAGTTTCCCTTACCCATAGGACTGTGCCCCCACGAATCACGACTACTATCCCCAAGCCGCTCCATCCAGAGCATTAGAAGCCGGTTCAAGCAAGGATATACAAGTGATAGAAATTAGGAGGATCCTAATTTCTATATATATATATACATTCTATCATCACCGATCTGACTCCGATCTGGATGAACAGTGTTCCTCTCGGGGAAATCCCATGCTTTGAAAGACTGTTGGGCCTCAAACTCACACCCGATCTCAAATGGAATTCGTACATGCGATCCTTTGCTAAGGATGCCGGCAAAATGGTCGGCTCTCTGTAACCACTGCAGTAAGTACCTGACTCCTCCTACTATTATCTACTTTACAAGAACCAGATCAGGTTTAAAATGGAATACTGTTGTTATATTTGGGTGGGAGCTGTAAAGAACTAACTCTCCAGCCTTGATAGAGTTCAAAAATGTCTCCTAGTCCTTGTGGGTGACGAACTATTCTCCACCCTCCGATTTCTCTCCGATAAGCGGGATGTGTTCCTCTACCGCTTCTTCCATGAAAAATACTCGGACGAACTACATTCCCTGGTCCCACCGAGGTAAACCTTCAGAGTAAGAACACGCCATGCCACTTACTTAGTAGCAAACCAACTACAGTCCATCCATATTCCATAGGTGAGAACGAAGTTCCACTCGAACAGCTTCTTCCAGCAAACCACTGCCCCGTGGAACCGATACCCAATAGGATTCTTCCCCGATCACTATAATCTTAACCTATTCAAGGATAGGATTAATCGTTATCTTCCACTCCTATACACACAAATGACCTTTAAAAATAACCCTCCAGATAGATATATCTGAAAAAGAAAATGAGACAGATAGATAGATTAGAACACACTGAGATAGATAGATAGATAGATGATAGATAGATAGATAGATAGAGGAACAGACTGAAATAGCTAGCTAGCTAGCTAGCTAGCTAGATAAATATGAACAGACTGGGATAGATAGATAGATAGATAGATAGATAGATAGATAGATAGATAGATAGATAATTAAAAGACTGAGATAGATAGATAGATAGATAGATAGATAGATAGATAGATAGATAGATAGATAATTAAACTGAGATAGATAGAGATAGATAGATAGATAGATAGATAGATAGATAGATAGATGTGCACAGGAACTAGTACTCACTTTCGAAAATATTTACTCTGTGCATGACTATAATAGTGGGACACCTACTGAGTATCAAACTCACTACACGAGTGAAGAGTTCGTCAGTTCAACCTTGTCAAGAACAGCCCTATGGTAAGTGCCTTTGACAAGGCTTAGTTTAGTCTACGACTACGACTAGTGTCGAACTTGATAAGAATCGAACCCTTTACATTGCTGTAGTTAAACTAACTCGTTAACCATCACGAAGCGCGAATCACCTTGATTGGGATTTATGCTCGGATATATAGGATGCAAATTTTTACCCAGCAAATAGATTCGTGCAGCGTTTAGCAAATTATCTCTAAATGAATACAAATAAGCCTGAAAAAAAAATTCTTCCAGAGCCCACCAGAAACTCTCAGCAAATTCTTTCGCAAAAATTGCTGACGTACACGATATTATTATTTTGTTTCTTGTATTATTTTTTCAGAAATGTTTATTGCTCGCAGAAAGTCATTAGCTTTCCACGCAAATTCGACCACTTACCAAAAAGGAAAACACAAATAAAAAAAAGATAATAAAAAGGAAAAAAAAATCAAAAACGCGTGCATCTTGCGTTTTTATGCTGGTCCATATCAAACAGGCCGTTTTCGTTTTTTTTTTTTTTTATTTGCTACTCTGTTTTGTTTTTTTGAATTTCTGATGAATTTATTTTGCTGCCTTTTAACGGCGTCTGCCAAACGAAGGAGAACGTGAAACTAAATGGATAGAGGTCATTAGAGATAAAAACAAACAGCAGTCGATTAATGCAGCCATGTTCGATTGTAACAGCTTCTAAGACAGAAAGAAACATAGAAAGAAAGACTGGAAGGAAGGAATGAAGGAAAAAAAATCCTTGAAGGAAGGAAGGAAGGAAGGAAGGAAGGAAGGAAGGAAGGAAGGAAGAGAAAGAAGGAAGGAAGGAAGATAAGATGGAAGATATGAAGGAAGAAAGATTCCAAAACAATTGATAATGAGAGAAAATTAAGAAAGAAAGAAAAGAAAGAAAGAAAGAAAGAAAGAAAGAAAGAAAGAAAGGCAGGAAGGCAGGGAGGGAGGGAGGGAGGAAGGAAGGAAGGAAGGAAGGAAGGAAGAAAGGAAGGAAGGAAGGAAGGAAGGAAGGAAAAGAAAGAAGTAAAGAAGACAAGAAGGAAGATGATAAGAAGAAAAGAAAGAATAGAAGAGAATTGAGAATGAGAGGAAATAAAGAAAGGAAGGAAGGAAGGAAAAAAGGAAAGATTGAAGTAAGGAAGGAAGTAAAAGAAAGAAGGTAGTAAGGAAGACAAGAAGGAAGATGCTAAGAAGAAATAATAGAAGACAATTGAGAATGAGAAAAAATAAGGCATAAAGGAAGGAATGAAGGAACGAAAGAAGGAAGAGAATAAAGGAAGTAATGGCGGCAAAGAGAACGATGATATGAAAGAAAGAAAGAAAGAAAGAAAGAAAGGAAGGAAGGAAGAAAGAGAGGAAGGAAGGAAGAAAGAGAGGAAGAGAAAAAGGAAGTAAGGTAGGCAAGAAAGAAGATAATGAGAAGAAAGGAAGAAAAATTGAAAACAATTGATAACGAGGGAAAAATAAGGAACAAACAAAGAAAGAAACGAAGGAAGGAAGAGAAAGATGGAAGTAAGGTCTATAAGAATGAAAATGAAAAGAAGAAAAGAAGACAATTGAGAATGAGCGAAATATAAGGAACAAATAAAGAAAGAAAGATAGGCAAGAAGGAAGATAAGAAGAGGAAAGGAAGAAACAATAGAAGACAATAGAGAATGAGAGAAAAATAAGGAAGAAGGAAGAGAATGAAGGAAGTAATGGCGGCAAAGAGAAAGATGATAATTGAAATAAAAAGAAATGCAAGAAAATTAAATTGAATGAGAGAAAATAAAAAGGAGGAAAAAAGGAAGGAAAGAAAAAAGAAAGGAATGAAGGAAGAGAATGAAGGAAGTAATGGAGGCAAGAAGGAAGATGATAAGAATAGAAGACAAGTGAGGAGGAGAGAAGACAAATGAGAAAGAGAGAAAAGGAAGGAAGGGAGGGAAGGAAAGAAGGAAGACAAAAGTAAGATCATAAGAAGAACGAAGAGAAGACAATTGCCAATGAGATAAAATAAGGAAGGAAGGAAGGAAGGAAGGAAAATCAGAAGGGAGATGATAAAAAGAAGGGAAAAAATGGAAAATAATTGAGAACGAGACAAAAATAAGATAGAAAGAAAGAAAAGAAAAGAAGAAAGAAAGGAAGGAAGGAAGAGAATGAAGGAAGTAATGGCGGCAAAGAGAACGATGATATGAAAGAAAGAAAGAAAGAAAGAAAGAAAGAAAGAAAGATGAAGAAAGAAAGAAAGAAAGAAAGAAAGAAAGAAAATTAAGAAAGGAAGAGAAAGAAAGAAGTAATGGAGGCAAGAAGGAAGATGATAAGAATAGAAGACAATTGAGAAGGAGAAAAAAGAAAGAAAGAAAGAAAGAAAGAAAGGCACAACAGATAAAAGAAATAATGATGTGTTCTGAAAGAAAGAAAGAAAAAAGAAAATTGAGTCTTAAAATAAGAATAAAAAGAAAAGAAAAAAAAAGAAGAAGCAAAAATGAAAGAAAAAAGACTTACAAAGAAAGAAAGAAGGAACGAAAGACCGGAGTTAAAAAGAAACAATATGTCCTTATAATAATACTTATATGCAAAAATATAGTTTTATATATAAACTTATATTTACAGATAAATTATGGAAGAGAAACTACAAATCTACCTGCTTGATTGGTTTGCTTGTGGGTGGGCTGGAATATTAGCGAAAAACAATCTTCCTTCTTCAATTTGACAATGTTTCTAATTGATGGTTTGCTCGACTGAATCGTTGCCGAAATTGTCCAATATTTTGTACCGCCATTATTAACCAGATTTCGATTACAGCTGTAATTTCAAATGTTCTTAATATCTTGATGTCTGACTGACTGAACTTAGTTTAAAGGAAATTACAAAACCTCTTACAGAAGGTAGCGAAGGAGAGTGAGAAGAAAGGACTAAGCATAAACTACAAGAAGACAGAATACATGGTCATCAGTAAAAAATGATTGTAAATGTGATCTGCAGGTCTGGGACACTAAAATCAGAATAATGGAAATTTAAATATCTGGGAAGTGTTTTTGATATAGGATGATTTTGCTGAGATCCGAAGAAATATTGGGATGGCCAAAAGACACATTCTAAAAAGCTAGGCAAAGTATTACGAGACAGGAGGATTTCTTTGGTAACAAAGAAAAGAATACTGAGCTGTTAAGTGTTTGTTTATACTTCTGTCCTCCTTTACGGCAGCAAATGTTGGATGCTCTCCTCAAAGATGAAGAAATTCTTCAAGAGGCAAAGGAGGTATGGTTCTACAGAAGGATACTAAGGATATCATGGACCAAACATATTGGTAAGCCAAAGACGCATTTAAAAAGCTAGACAAAGTATTGTTGAGACAGGTTTTTTTCTTCTTTAACAAAGAAAAGAGTACTGAACTTTACGTGACATCTTTAATCCCCTTAATTTAAAGCGAATGTTGGACGTTTCCTTAAAGATGAAGAAGAGACTAGAAGCAACGGAGGTATGGTTAATACAGAAGGATGCTAAGAAACCATAGACCGAGCGAGTGAGAAAGAATTTGATTTTTTTTGGGGAGGATGCAAACAAGAAGGAAGCTTATTCTTAACGTCAGGAAGAGGCAGCTGAAATTTCTGTGACACGTAATGAGAAAAAAGGGCTTGGAGAATCTGATACTCATAGGTCGAATAGACGGAAAGAGAGACAAGGGAAAACAACGCATGACATACCTGGCTGACTTAAGCAAGTAGATAGCAGAACATGGCCTGGTGGGGGGAAGTAACAAAGGGAGAGAGACTTATTAAGTGCTACAAGCGATAGGAGGAAGTGGAGTGCTATGATCGCCTACGTCTTGAAGGGAAACTGCACATAAAAAGAAGAATATTAAACGATTGGTTCGTTAGAAACGAATAACACAGATATACCCCATTAATAGAGTATAAGGAATTTTAATACAACTATTACGACTACTATTATCATTATCAAATTAAAGAAGTAACAGCAGGTGTTGCTTGTAATAAAAGAATTTAGTCTTTGTTTAAGACAGTGATTTTACAAGATTCCTTTTTCGTTCATTTCATTGTTTTCATTTTATCTAAGGGAGCTAAAAAAAAAATTACAAAATGTTTTCCGACCATTTTATGCGTAACGCGTGTTTTTACGTCGTTTATCTGGCAGAATGGCATTCGCTAGTAATACGGAAAGATCGATTTTTTCCTATCTTTAATGAGAACATGTTGAGTCACTGATGGTTTTGATGGTATACAAAAGTCTCCATGCGAAAATCGATTGATAAATCATCACTGGTAGATAAATAAAAAACCAAAGGAAGATTCGCCAATTATAAGAAAAAAAGTCTTCAACTAAATACAAATTATTTAGGAAAGGTCAATAACGTGTTGAGCCCTTGGATTCTAGTTCACGATACTTAAAATGGATTCAATTTATTTGCCTGTTTTATTAAAAGTGTTATTTTTTATTTTTTTTTAAAAACATAAATTGTTATATACAGGGTGTCCATAAAGTTCGTGTTCACTTTAAAAAATTTATAACTTTATTTGTATTTGCGATAGAAATAATTTGTAAAAAGGATTAGAAAGAAGTAAATCTATATTTTTTTAAGGTTTTATTGAAATTTTATTTAAGTTTCCACGTCCTCTATTATTAGCAATACAAAGGGTAATACGATTTTGCAGTTCACAGAAAACATTTGTCAACTGATTTACATTAGTTATTTTAGCTAAACTTAAAACTATGTACATTAAACTTTATAACATTTTTTAAAGATTATTTCTATCGCAAATACAAATAAAGTTATAATTTTTTTAAAGAGCACACGAAATTTATGGACACCCTGTATATAGCACCCATTGCTAAAGAGGCAGAACAAATAGTCAGTTCTTTGTACCGTACCATAATATTAAAAATTATGGGACACTACGACGTGGTGCAATGGTGAACAAGCTTGTCTTGATAGATCAATTACAACTGAGTAGTGAATTCGATCCTCACCGGCTGCCACACGGCTTCAGTCTTGTGCCATATCTAAACTACGCTTAGAAAATCACAATTAAATGCTTAACTTATTATATTGCCTTGAAGCTTCGCTTAGTATGTTTTTTGTGATGTCAACGAACACTCATTTGACACTTTTGTAATGCCAACGAATACTCGTTGTCACTTTCGTAATGCTCGTTGTAGTAGAGACTTTGTAATCGCAGATACAACTATAGTACGCTGTTGAACAATACTGGTGTCAGACGCTTTCGAATAAGTCTTTCACTAATATTACTTGCTTGATAATACTCGCTTGAACAGTAATTCGTATAGTGATCCGAATACAGAAATAGTATAGTGAATAGAGTAGAGAATAGCGGCCCATATAGTAATAGAGGATAGAATAGAAATAACGACCCGAATAGTAATCGAGGATAGATTAGAATTGGAGATCAGTTAGACGTAAAGTTAATAAAACATATACGTTTCCTCTTTGGTCTATTTAATTCAATAATGGGATCGCCTGTATTTGCTCACTGACGATCTATGTTCAAACTCTAGTGCCGGCAGCGACACTTTATTCCTATATAACACTGACACGTGTTAAAATTCCCACAGTGTTTAGTATTGTAACATTGTAATTATTTCGAACTTTTTTGTCGTGATTTACAAACTCTATGTTTCGTTCAATTTCGCATACCAATCGATGAAATTTGAATAAGCTGATTTGTTTGGAAAAATACTTCATGCTAAACAATATTTTTAAGAAAATTTCTTTATTTCTTAAATTTTAAACAAGAATAAAGGTTTAGGATTTCTTTACTCTTGAGAATGCAGCATAAAACTAAAAAATCTGTTAAAATATTTTTAGAGTCAAATTCCAAGTTTTTTCCTTTTGTTCATTGTTCTCACAAATTGTTTTTTAAAAATAAAAATTAAAAAATTAAAAAATATCAATAAGAATACCGGATTATATATCTTACTGATCTTATATATATATATATATATATATATATATATATATATATATATTATGCACTGTTACATTAAAACATGTACATACCTACTACAAAACTGTACATCTTGTTTCAACATTAAAAATTATGGTAGTACCATGATGGTTATTTGGCATTTTTCATTTGTATTACACACACATTAAAAACATCACACACACACACTGACAACACACACACATTTATACATCATATATATATATATATATTGTTATATACGGACAAAACAATAACTCACGACAAAGATGCATTTTTGTTTCGATGAGGAACAAAGAGGGTTATGAAAGATTCTATTTATAAATAGAATAAAATTTATATATATATATATGTATGTATATATGTATGTATTCTCTTTCTAGGTTATTTTAATAGATACAATTCATTTAATGAATACCTAAAAATTTGTTTTTTTTTTTTTTTTTAAATCAATGAAAATGTTAATTACATTTACCAATTTTGAATTTATGTAGAAAATTTGCGTTTCCGATTAGGTTTCCAACCTTATCCTATATATGAAACCGTCAATTAATTTGACGTTTTATAACATTCTAAATAAAGAGAAGCGTCTGGTTATAAATCCAAATTACTGTTTATAAACAACAAATCTTTGACGATCTTTCCCGAACGATCATATCTGCTCACGAAACGTACCTTAAAAGTAAACATTGGCAACGTATGATGAAATGGATTCAGTTCCAAATTTATTTAATATATTTTCTGTTTATACGTTATTTTATTAGATACTATTTATTTAAGTAAATTCTCTGTTTTTTAAATAAGCAGTATTAATTACATTTAGCAGGTGAGATCAATTGACGGTTCCGTATAGGACACAGGTTCGATTCCTGTCGGAGAATGCATATTTTCTATGAAATTTCTCGTATATTCAGCCCGGTAAATGTAATTAATACTGATTTATTTAAAAAAAAAATAAAAAAAAACAAAAACAAAAAACCCCCCAGAGTATGGAATCTTAAATCAATGTATATCTATTAATTTATAACCTATAAACAGAATGAATATATATATATATATATATATATATATATATATATATATATATATATATATGAACGATTCTATTTAAAAATACAATCAAATAACCATTTTGTTCCTCAATGATTTGTTAAAAATGCATTTTTTTGTTATGAGTTATTGTTTTGATTGTAGTTTTACAACAATATATATATATATATATATATATATATATATATATATATATATATATATCCATGACAATTGATTTGTTTCGGGCATTTTGTAAAAGAAATAAACATGCTGATTGAGGATGGGTGTTTTTATCGAGTCACCATCTTTAGATAGATTGACAGCCAAGGCTGAACAGTTTATAATTCCTCATTATTGGACATCTCCAGGAATGACACAAGCTATAAGCGGAAGAGTGTTTTTAAATTTAGACAGATTGCCACTCAAATACTAAAGTGCTTCTCTCTGACCAACCGTTGAGGACTTGTGACTACATATTAAGATAACTATAGATTTGTGCCGGTTTCATACCAGGACATTCCTATTCTATGGTTGGGGGTGTAGGATTAATCCTAAGCATTTTTTCATGGAATTATAATATTACTATCTATTTATGGCCCCTGTTCCCATAAAGGAATTCAGATCTTTATATCTAATCTTCTGAATTTGTTATCTATCTATTCTTCGATCATCATGCTTGATTCAATTTCACACCAGACTGTCAATCGAATTATCTATCAGTTCAAAAAAGATGTTTGCAAATGTGGGAATTGATAAACCGGTTAACATAGAACTGCATAGACAGGATTTTAGTAATCAGACATTAGACTTAGGAAATCTAAAAACACGTTGTTCTTTGATTTTTTCTATATTTGTGGCAAACACACACACACACACACACACACACACACACAAAGAAAAGAGAGAGAGAGAAAAGCTTATAACATTGTATATATAATTTTCAGAGTTTCTAATGGACGTACAGAGACTTTTAGCTTTACATATTATATATTTTAAAAATGATATGGGATGAATTTAATAAAATATCTAAAACACAAAGTGTTAATGAGTCATGTGAAAAGAATAAAAAAAAAAAAGTTATTAAAGAGCGAGAATAATAAAAGAACGGGTATTTCTCTTCGGAATCTATCTTACATATTTATAAGTCTACCATTCGTCTTTAATTTAAATATTTCTGCCACTTCTGGTCTGGTGTTCCTGAATTATATTTAGAGATTCTTTATGAAATCCAAAAGAATGGAATAATTATTGTCGTTGAACATGAACAACTTAATGTCGTTTTTCCCACCATTGCAATGTACTAAGCCCCTGTGCCTGAAAGTTAACGTATATTTTCATGAAAAAAATTTCTATGAACTTTCCTCTATTTCTTCCGAGAACTTTATAAATTTAAACGCCATAATACTAGATGGTGGAAAGCAATTTAGAGTTTTACAGTTGAATTAGCTAGTCATCATATGAGGTTCTTTGCTAACAATTTAAATCTTGCACTTCTAATTTGAAAATCGACTTGTGATTTGTTTTCACATCAACTTTGATTTTCAAAAAATTAAATGCAATGTCAATCGATATATAATGTTCATTTTTCTCTTTTGTTTTTATTTTCGTTAAATGTAATAATCATTTTCGTTTTTTAATTTTTTATGTTCAAATAAAATTTTTGTTCACTAAAAAAATTTAGGTGAAATGATTAAAAAAAATTAAAAAAAATTGAGGTAGCATTTCTTCATGAATACATGTTTGATTCAATATTGAAAATTTATATTGACATAGAAAACATGATATATTGTAACTATTTATTACAAAATTAATTGAGGACTGTTGTGATCGTCTTTATTGCCACATGAAGTTAATTTCCAGTGAAAATTTTGTCCGTTTAATTTGTTGAATGATGAATATCCAAAGCTGACTTGACTCAATGAGTTGTGAGTTCAATCCCTTGCTTTAGCAAAGAGAACAACAAAAAAAAAAATACTTGGATGAAATGGCTTGGCACGTGGAATTAGAACAATCTAACCCCTGTGGACTAAATAAAGGGTTCGATCAAAATTACGACGAATATAACCTGAAGAAACAGCCGAAACGTAGTGAATGTAGCAATAAAGATGAAGACAACAGTCCGAAGAATGTAAATACTTAAACTCTTCTGATTTTGTTCAAGAGAACGAAGGTCAGAATTGTATAACACGTTTTATCTCATATGTTTATTCGAATAAAACTGATGCAACGAATATTATATTTCCTGTTTTTTTTTCCTTTTAGGTATAATTCAACAGTGCAGTCCTTCGTGGTCTCCAAACTCCGTCGGGGTGAGAGTACAGAATTGCTTCATGCCAACGGAACAGCAATGAAAAACCTGGGGAAAGGATTTGGAGATTACGGTAAGGAAATAAAATAAATTGCAGTTCTCTTAGTAAATAAAACGAGACAACAATTATTTCGTTATATATAAGGGTTCAGTCAAATATTAAGTATTTAATTATAACATATTTAACACCCAAATATCTCCAAAGGTGAAACAAGCGGATAACGATTACAATAGTTCAACGTTTGAATTAGCGGATGAAGAGGGCTACGCATGACGGACAAACTACAGAAGGCGTCACTCGAAACTATAACTGTCAGTGACAGTTCATTGCAGTTACATAACTGGATTCTGCATATCTCATTCCATATCTGCCGCAGAAGAAAAGGTCATGACATCAAGTGGGTCACTTCCTGGCAAGTCGAGGCCTCACCTTAAATAAATTCACGTCATCGGCACTTTCTTCTACTTTGATTTTCTTTCACTTAGATGGATGACGAGAGATTTTGGTGAAACTGGAAGCTTCTGATCCTGAAAATTCACGTTTGCGACGAATTAAGTTTTCAACGCCATTAAAGGAAGCGATCAGAAAAGAAGAAATTAAATTCTTGGATATAATTATTCGAGATAAAATCGACAACGACAACATATTTGATTTTAGAATTCATACAACTAGATAACAAAATTTTGAATACAAAAAGTGGTTATTTTTTGAAATTAAGTTGCAAATAGGCGCCTTCTTATTCAATCTTTTGTACGAAATGTAAAGAGATTAATGCCAGTTGTGTAGTTACAAGAGATTTAAAATCGTCGTCGTTGGCAGAATTCGTCGCCAAGTCTTGAGATGCTCATAAACATTTCCTTCTGTATGAAATGAGTCCTATGGGAAATCTACTTTAGAGAAGTTCACAGCTATATTTAGCTGCCCCCGCAACGTGTGGTAGCATGTAAAACAAGGCCGAAGTTTAAAATGGTCATCTGAGCCCGTAGGCCCGGCTAAAATATAGATATGAACTTGAGCTGTGACTCTGAACGAAACCTTGCCCTTGCAAAGCTTCGTCCGGGTTCCTCCCTGCTAATGAAGAGAGTTCGACAGACGGCGGTTGCTGTAAGTTTGATACAGCTATATAAAGAGACGTTCACAGCCACCGCGTGATAAGGTAGAAGGGTTCATGGGATGGAGACCTCTGGCTTTTCTTTGGGATCTCTTCTGTCTTCGGGTGTTTTAGAAGGATGTTGTTTTATTTCATGGACTGCACTTTGGTTCTTTCAGCAGCTTCCGTCTCTCAATTGACCGGAACGATTACTCAACCCATCAAGATGTTTTTGAGCTGATCCTTGAATCGACAGCGTTGGGCCCCAGATGCGAACCCTGAGAAGAGGATTTGTTTGCGTAGGCGAATCAATCTAAGTAAGCCGGAAATCTATCCGGCCCATCGTAGACGGTAATTTGTCATAACTTTATTAGGAAATTTTCATCTTTCTTCAATAGTAGAAGCACACAAAAACGGTTGGTTTGGTTTGTTTTGTTTACGGCATATCATCTGTGGGTTATTTAATACCTAAAAATATTTTTATTAAATTGCTAATATTTTTTTTATCTATCTATCTATCTATCTATCTATCTATCTATCTATCTGTTGTAACCTAGAAAAGTTACTGGATGAGGAATAACCTAAACGGAGGTTGGAAATGAAATGGTAATCTTTATAACGTCAATAAAATACAATACTCGCCAGCGGCGCATAGTAGGTAAACCACTGCTAGTGATGGACTACTTAGACACCATATTACCCCCCCCCCACTTACAACAGTGTCCAACATATTCATGAGGATTAGTACATACCCATTAATGTTCATAGGTATATATATATAACAATTAGCTTTTCTTCTATGATGTAATTCTATTTCAAATATAAAGTATTCACTTAATAATGTTTCAGATGGATATATACCTACATATAATTGTTGTTACCTAGAAAGGGTTACTGAATGAAGAATAACTAAAACAGAGGTTGGAAATGAAATGGTAATCTTTATAACATCAACAAAATACAATACTCGCCAGCAGCGTGAACTGGGTAAACCACTGCTCGTAGTGGACTACATAGACACCATATTACCCTCACTTACAATAGTGTCCAACTATTATGAAGATTGAGACATAACCATTTGTGTTCATAGATACGAAATATAACAATATATTTAATATATTTTCTGTTTGTACGTTATTTCTATAGATACAGTTTATTTAAGTAAATGATCTGTTTTTTTTTTTAATTAAACAGTATTCATTACATTTACCGGCTTGAAGTTTCGAGAAATTTCATAGAAAATATACGTTCTCCGACAGGAAGCGAATCTGTATTTCTATACAGAAACCATCATTTGATCTGACATGTTATACCATTTAGCTAGAGAGAAGCATCTGGTTAGCAGTTCAAATTACTCTTTTTAAAGACACAATCTTCGACGATTTATCTCGATCAGTCATAGCTGATGCAAATTCTTGCGAAACGAACATGAGTGCATCATTTTTCAACTTATTCAAGATGATCTTCACCCTCTCCAAACCTCTAACTTTCTGTCCTGGAGCAACAAGGTGCATCACAGGTTCCACATACGATTTCATTTTCAAGTCGTTTTACACAGCTCTTTGAACTGTCATAGCTGAAACTTCTCTCTCACGTGCAAACGTCTTATGGGTTGAGTTGGATCTTTTCTAATTGATTTCTTTAGCTCTATGTTGAAATGATGATCCCTCTTCCTGTTGTGACCTCTTATCGTTCACTCCTTTTTAAACTTATTCACTGTTTTCTTGATGGTTCTTGAATGGACTTTGAAGATAGAAGCCAGAGTATGAATTTTGGTAGCACTACTGAAGGCATGAATGATCTTTTTCCTCTCACCATTGCTCAGTAGGGAAGACAGAATGGGGCTGTATAACCTTTTCCCACCAGTTTCCAAACTTGTCAGATGTGATACTTGTTATATGAGGCCCTCAGTTATGATAACGGCACACGAGTTTTTTGGCTTACGGCCACATCACTTTGAAGCACCGGTTCCCGTACGATCACTAAAGTTAAGCAACGTCGAGTTGGTATCTAGATTGGTGACCGCTTGGGAATACCAGATGTTATAAGCTTGGATGTGAGGGTGGTGTCAGCGATAATGGCATTGAATTGTTAATCGGAGATATCAATATCAATTGTTGCGGTCGTTGTATTCATTTAAGCGCAGATATTCCTGGAAAAGGCATGAACCCACCTCTTCTCTTCCCAGCTATGGATTAAGGAATAATTATCACTAAACCAAAAAGATTCTTATGAGCTAAAAATATTTCTGGCTTTGAATAACCTGCAAATAGTTGATAAGACGTAAAAAATGACTCAATCAATGAATAAAAGACATTTTTATAACTCAATCAAGAATGAATAGACTTTGTTTCTATTACACGACCATATTTAACACTTGAAAAAATATTTCCGTCAGTCATGCTGTAAATGTTACTTTATTTAGGGGGAATATCACATTTTAATTTATAGTTTGGGTACTTAAATTACAAAAACAGCTTGCGTCAAAAGGCGTCATAATTAAAAGAATTCTGGTCAACCATTTTTCTGAAATATAATCTTTGTTATATATATATATATATATATATATATATATATATATATAAAGCACTTTCGTCAAAAACCGAACTGGCGACAATCATAATTTAATGCGTGAAACAATCATCAGGCCATGTTTTGTTTATTGTACGCTGCTGTTTTCATAATTATAAATATCACATAGTCGCGTTTTCACCTGGTTTGCATTCAGGCATGAAACAGACTATCAACACTCACTACTGACCACTGTGCCCACTTTTATATTTAATATTTACATACGCTCTGATAAGTTGGTAAAACCATAAAACATTCCGAACGTAAATATATGTATATTTATTAATATATACTTCTTATCTCTGTCTACACTGAGCACTGTCATGTTTACACCTTATATTTAATTAAGTACATATTTATTCGTTTATTTGTGTATGCACGCTAACGAAGATATATACAGTTGTTAATATCTAATTATCCGCTTTATGTCCACATTTCCTGATATATATATATATATATCTATATATATATATATATATATATATATAAATATATATATATATATATAAATAAAGGGAAGAGGTTATAGTGTTCCAGCGAGAGAAAAGTTTGTATATTGAAAAGAAGAGAGAAACCGCAAACGTTTTTTGGTTGTAATGTGGAAAAAAAAAAAAATATTATGTTTTATTTTCCATTTTTTGGTTACACGTGTTTCCGGTGTCGACTTCGTCATCAGGCAAAAAGCGTGAAATTTCCATATATTATAAAAATAATTAATTTTTTTCTTTATGTTTTTCGATGTTAAATATTCTAGATATAACAACATCCTTTTTTTTGTATGTATGGAGAAATGTACATATATATATATATATACATATACATATATACATGCATGTACTGAAAACAACGAAAATTTAAATAGATCTAATAAACAAGGGTATATTAAAAATAATAATATAAAAACTTACTTTTAAAATTTCTCGGACCAATCATAATTGTTTTATAACCCTTTTTGTAAAACGAAACACACTATTAAAATTTCTGTTTTAAAATTACTGTCAAAAGTATTTTATCTTATAAAATTGTTAACATTATTTTCCGTAAGGGATAATTTGTCAACAATTTTTAATTATATATCAATTTAAATTCCGATGTAAATCGACTATGTTGAAAAAACCATCAGACGGTTATGGTAAGGATCATCCAGCATTTTCCGGGCAAATAAACATTTTATATTATATTTGGGTTTTATAAAAACAATATATATATATATAAATATATATATATATATATATATACTTTTTATATTTTTAAAGATTTTTTAGTGGATACCCATGTATGAAATAGACGCCCTGTTTCTGTTGTAAACAGTGTGTATTACGTCTATCGGCCTGTAGTCGTGGATTGTCCGCAAAACTACCTTGCTAACTATCGGCTTGTTCCTTCGTTGGTTACGGATTTAATAGGCAAACATTATACGTGTTTATTAATCCTAAATTATTTCCGGTCTAATTATACAAATATAAAGTCGTTAGTAAGGACCGCACTTGCTAGGTCAAGAAATGACCTACAAAACGTATTTCTAATTATTGGTAGGCGTTTTGTTATGATGAAACTAAAAATTTCCCCCCTGTTAACGATTTTTCTCCTATTTTTTTACGATTGCAGAGATGTTTAACAATGATGAAGATGATCTTTACTCTCGAGACGCTGCACCACCTCCCCCAAAGCAGGAACCACTTCCGGTCGAACTACCAGCGGATGAATACGTCATCCAACATCGACTTCCGTGAGTAGATTGGTTGATTTTTTTGTATATTTATAAATATAATAATAATAATCTGAAACTTTCTCTTCATAGAACGTATCTGGAAAAATCGAAAAATGTATCTGACAACTGGATTTTTTTTGAAAATCGATGCCAAAAGCCGATGTCAGAGCTCTTTTACAATCCAGGATTTAGAATTCAAATTTTCATTAGTGCCAAGCCAGTTACGCTACTTTGAAGAATGCTGCTATATAATCTTTCTAGGTTTCACTTATTTCAAAACTATTTATGTGGTCTTGTGGGGAATTATTAATTTTTCACTTTACAGCTCCTTCTCCCCCACAGACGTACCGTCGCAGCCTGTTGTTATTTTATTGCTATTTCCGTAAATATTTTTTTTTTTGGTCTCCATTTTAGTATTTATCTATCTTGGGATCATCTCTTTTTATGTCGAATATCACACCTTTACAGTGGACGAGGTCTCGGTAACTATTGCCAAATTTTCCAGAAGCCCGTTTTACGGCAGCGGCTTGTAGGGAGAATAAATTGTTTATATATAGGGATGTAAAGAGCATCCTTTAAAATTGGCTCTCGCATATTTTCTTGTGTGTCTATTGAAGTAATTCGAGCATTAACACTTTATAAAGCAAAATTACTTCTTCTACTGCCATCTGCCCTTTCGATTTTGTGGATTAAAATCATTATCAAAGCTAATGAATTTTGATTAATCAGCAAAAATGTGATTTGTGGCTGCACAATCAACAAATAAAGCATTTCTGCTGAAAATGATGTCGAATTGAAAATAGAGATGAATTCCTGTCTATATATCCGAGATGAGATATTGTAATTATTTGCATTATTTACATTGTTCGGACTGTTGTCCTCGTCTTTATTGCCATATTTCGACACATGGCCCATCCATGGAAAAATATAGGTGGGTTGGATTATTTCATTTGACCTAAAGAGTTGCGAGTTTAACAACCTGGACTTTGTAAATAAAAGCAAATAAAAACTTGGAGAGTTGAGTTAAAATAGATAATTGAGACATCCATCTATTAGGCATGGCACCTGTTTCTAGAACAATCTACCAAGGTGGACGAAATATATATGAAGAATTAAAGCGTACAACGAAGAAACTTTGTGAATATGGCAATGAATATGAGGATAACAGTCCGAATAATGTAAATAATTTCAAATAAATATATCTTATTCATATCTGGATATAAACAGATATTGAAAAAAATTAAATTTAAAATCATATAAAATTGTTAAGAAGGTTTTGGGCAGTTGTTTTGACCAATTCAGGTTTCTCATTTTATTTGTGGTAGATTTACATCTGTTCATGGAAATATAATTTGCATATTTCTTTTTTTGTTGTTTAATGTAGGATTCTATAATGGTCAAATATCAATGGACAGTGAAAAAATTTATTCATTTTTATTACTCCCCTGTTTGATTGATGTTAGAGTGTATCCAGGGTAGGCAACCTTTGGTATCTATAGGCTGACTTTTGTTTTTAAAATCATTCAATGTGCCAACAGCATAATTATTTTTTATACAAGTCAAGGTCAATATTTGTTCTACAATTATATTTTTTTTTAATTTTTTTTTCGAAAAATGACCCAGTGCACATGTTAGTACTTCGTATGTCCATTCTACGAATTCTTTCCTTATGAGATTGAACACAGATTCTCGATTAGATTTAAATCAGGAGAGTTACATATATAAATCTATAATACTTTGATTTGCTCATTATCTAAGGCTTGCCAGTGTTTCTTGCAACGTTACAATTTTATACTATTTCAGAGAGTAACTCTGATCGCAGACAATTGCCGTAATCGACAGTCGAGACAATAGTGTCCGGCCGTGATAAAATCTGATGCAATCACAGATGGCGTTTCAATTTTTTCAAATTTCATCATACAACCCGAAAATAGCAAATGACCTAATCGAGGTAAAAAAAAAAATAGAAATCGATTACACCCTGTCACTCGAGTGATTCTAAAACTGATAAATATGGTGAAAGAAAGGAAACTAATTTCGGTTGTTTCAATTAATTTCTGATCCAAGGGTGTATATTTAATATATTATATATATACAAAACTTAAAAATTATCTGTTCATTGTCAAGAGAAATGCCCGTTCGTAATCAAAGCAGTATAGGTGTACCGGCTAAACGGTGGTCTCTCGTCCCTTATAGATGCAGGTTCGATTCCTGCTGAAGAGCGCAAATTTTTATGTTGTATGATTTCTCTAAATTTCAGTCGGTAGGTGAACATAAATAAATGTACTGTTTAATATACAGGATGGCAATAAACTTAAAATAATTTTTTAAAGCATTTCACCCCAAGCAAGGCGGGAGTGCCACTAGCACGCAAGGGGTTACAGAGGATTGAGAGCAAGAGTAAAAAGTGGTGTTTGATAAAGAGAAGAACAGGAATCAAGATCAATACATCAGAAGAAGTCGATTGACATTAAATTTAAATTTTTGAAGATTATAGTTATAGAAGTAAGAGGAAGGGAGTTCCACTGTCGGGAAGTGCGAGAGAAGAAGCTGTTGGAGTAGAAGTGGCGGTTACATTTAACTATTTTGACAGTGAAAGAGTGGGACCGAGATGCCAACCTAGTAGCACGCTTAAATTCATGCAGTTGAGGTACCAGTGAAAATAGCTCGTCAGAGAAGTTGTCTTGAAAATATTTGCAGAAAAGTCGGAGGGAAGCCACATCACGTCTGTGAGAAAGTGACTGGAGTTGAGTTGCCAGATAAGGACCTATCACATTGCACATCCTTCTCTGGATTTTGTCGAGGACCTCGAAATGAACAGTGGTGGGGACTAGAGCAGATATGGCAACAGTATTCAATGCAAGAACGAATGGTAGATTTGTAGATTTGAAGAATGGACACTTCTGGCGTGACACAGAGAACCAGATTTCTTTGCGGTAGATGAAGCTATTGATTCAATGTAGTTGTTCCACCTGAGGTCAGTGGAAAGCGTGAGACCAAGAAGTGAAGTTGGGTATCAGCCATTCTGATAGGAGGCAGGATGGTTTCTCTATGGTGTGTAAATCAGAGCAGTTTCGTCTTGGTGGCATTAAAGTTTACAAGCCATTTCCTGTCCCAGTCAAACACAGATTGGAAGTCCTTTCAGAGACAGACGACCAGGGTAACTTTGTCAGCAATGCCGAATTTACTATTGAGACATCATAAATCATTAGTGTCGTAAAAATAGATGCTGAATGAGAACTTGTTATAAGTGTTGTGTATGATACACCTAATTTACATAAGTGGAGTACCGACCATATAAATATGGGTTGGTACCGGAAGACGACGGAAGATTAAGAGATCGAATCCAGAGACTCTGCCCGACTGCGACTTAGTCAACCCATTCTGCAGGAACAGTCTTCCCAAGAATATACCAAAACTACCTGTAAATATTGTGTACCTTTTTTTCATTGTTTCAATACATTTTGTTACGTACATTTTGTGTTGTATTATTATTATTCCATGCTTATTCAAGCTTCAACAATAATTTCATCGTTGATTTACAAGAAATGGATAGATGAAGGGAACACCAGTGTTCGAGTGAAAAGCTAGGAAAACCCGTTTAGGATGACCTTCATTAATTTAAATAACAGGAATAATTGGATTAAATCACATAATAATCGTCCTCTAATATCGTTTTCCAATCCATCTGTAAAAGACCGGCAGCAAAATATCTATCAAACGTCTTACAGGTATCTAAGAGCCACAGCTGAATAGTTTGAATTTTGATTTAATAATTTTTTTTATAAATATATTTATATTTATTTTTTCCCTCAGATTAGGTCATTTACAGTGGTGTACAGTAATAATGAATCAAATTTTCAGGTGTATGATGAAATTTGTTTGACCTTGAAAAAATTGCATCATCTGATTGAATCAGATTTGATCATTTACAGTTCACTATTGTCTCGACTGTCGATTAGTTGTCCTACGGCCATTATCTGCGATGGACGTTACTAAGAATTGTACGAAAATTATAACGCTGCACGAACAAATGATGTAAACTTTACCAGTGAGCAAATCAAAAAAAACAAAATGTTACTGGTTAAATCATCAAAATCTTGATAACAAATTTTGTTATGGTGCAAAAAACATGTTCGTTTCGGTTTAAAAAAAGTATTTAATCAACAGTTCATAAGGTCAATTATTAAAATGGTTCTGAAAAAAAATATAATGAAATCTTAATTAAACAATATTTTAAATTAATTATCAATACTTTTTGAACTGCAAACCACCTGCTTCAATGCTTTTCTTTTTATTATAAGTAACTTTATCGTTATCTTTATACACCTATATATATATATTGAAAGGGAGTCTTGAACAGGTTCATGAACATTCAAATAATGAATCAGCCTTAGTGATTTTATAATTTATATTAAAATCTAATGCAATTTCTCCAATTTTTCCTAAGTCGTGAAATTCTACAGAAGGATGCTGAGAATACCATGAACCGAATATGTGAGCAATGACAAAGTTCTATAGAAAATGGAAACAAAAATGGACACTTATACTTAACATCAGGAAGAGAGAATTGAAATTTCTAGGGTACATAACTAGGAAAGATGGCTTGGAAAATAAAGTCACTATTGTTAAAGTGGAACACACCTATTCTATAGTTTATAGACTCTCCCACCTATAATAAGTAGAAATAGTAAGAGTCAGTCAGTGAGTGAGTCAGTCAGTCGATGTCGGACGACAGTTAGTCGAATACGAAAGTATCAGCGACCACAACTAGATTACTCTGCGTTATACCTATTATATCAAGTTCCTAACGTTTTGTACGTCGAACCTATTTTAGAACCGACTTAGTACAAATACAAATCTCCACTGTGAAATCACTCCACAACAAGTATACAATTACTTACAATAACAATTAAGACAAAGCAATTAATGAACAGTCTATAAATTTATTATTAAAATGGTTCTGATTAATTCTGGTTACAATAATGAAATATATAAAGAATAGTAAATTCATATAC